GTTGACATTCGTACAAGAGAAATGTCGCGACATTGCATCTCTTCGCTGTAGGCAGCTATCATGCCAGTGCCATGTGTTTGAGTGAGGTTATGTATTGTGTTTATGTTGAAAAATAATGGAAGGTAACAAACAATTTCGATAACGGGAGATTTGCTTGCAAAAGAATAGTGCTGTGGAAAGAAAACACTACACGGCGCGGCGTTGCCACACATGTTCACGTCGCGTACAGCTGATCGAAAGCCCGACAAGAAACGCGACGAGTCGTCAACTTTTGATTGAATTTTTGGCCTTATTACACGTCAACGTCGTTTTGTCTTATACTTAACAAGTGTTAGAAGAATCAAATAATAATGTTATTTTCAGTTTTTTGAACTTGTTTCTTTACAGACAGTGAGTGAAATTCTCGAAAAATGTATGTTTTCGGTACAATTTCCCATAAAACCTATGTTAAAAATGCCAACTTTGAGATTTAATATCTCAAAAACTAGACGTCAGATCTTCTCAAAATTGCAAATTTAAGCGTATTTAGGTTTGTTTTATAACATATTTAATTCGGATTTTTTTCTTTGACATGTTCTGATGGCCCAATCACCTTAATATATAAAACATCTCCGAAATGCTTCTCCTTATGTAAAATCTCTCTCTGTCAAGAATCAAGACATTGTCCTCGCACTATCCCAAATGTCACAAAATCGGCACGATTATTGGTATAATGGTTGGTTCTTGTTGTCACACCCGAGATATCAGCAGAAAAACCTAAAAATCAGGGTTGTAAACTGAACCAAACCGTGGAAGTTTGTATGCTCCGAGAGAACGGAGCAAATTTCAAATTATAAAATCGCTCCGATCCGGAACAAACCGTTTTTTATTATAATTAAAAAATTCTCCGGTATCAAACCGGATCATAAAAACCGGTTTTGGAGCGGTTTCTTTATTTAATAAAAATGAGTTAATTAGTATACATATAGAACAAAATAATAAATAAATATATTATATATATGTAGATATAATAAATTACATATATGTTAGATATATTGTTATATATATCAGTCAGAGAACGAATGAACAAATAAGGACTATTAAATTTTGCGACAACAAAATAATAATAATAATATTTCATTTATTTAACAAATAAACACATACAAAATGGAAGTTATTTTATGATAGGAGCTAGTCTCTATAGAGGATTAGCTGTTATTTATGGTATGCAACACAAATTTGGATTTTTCATACACACGCATACACACGCATACACACGCACACACACGCGCGCGCGCGCGTGCATGCGTGCATGCGTGCGTACGTGCGGGTGTATGCGGGTGTATGTGTGTATGTATGTATGTATGCGTGTGCATGCGTATGTATACGTGACGTCCATATCGTTCTAGGTTATCTGGGTCCTGGGTTATGCCAGGAAACAGGGATACAATACTCGCAGACCCGAATTTTACATGTTTGACTGGCTGTAGCTCAAAAACTGTCCATAGGTTTTGGCCTTCAGCCCATTACATTTTTTGTTCAGGAAGTCATAAGCTACAACATATTAAAAATTTAGACGATTTTACCGAGATCCCATTTTCTATATGATTAGTGCGGGCTCCTTTGAACTAATTCTTATCATATTGATTTGTAAGCAACCAACCTCCTTAAATAAAATATACATTCTTGGAAAATGATTAGAAACAAATAACACTATGTTGAACAGTTAAATTTAACAGACAATAAAGTTTCTCATATGACATTTTTCTTTGGAAATATTAGCACCACTGTTTTGTTTTTCTTTAAAAAGTAGTGCTTCCAAACTTTTGAATGGTAGCGTATGTTTTATACAATTTTGGAGATCACTTTCCGTGCTATAAAAAACCGTGCAATTCAAAAATCCAGATCCACATAAAATTGAACATTTGGTTCCAAGGAATTATTTTAAAAAATACTTTTAAAAAGAAGGATAATCACAATTTGTTACCATACTATTCAAGATTCCATGCAATTCAAGTACCGCGTTATTCAAGGAGTCACCTGTTTATATGTTTGTACACTGTATGTACAGGGTGTAACAAAAAGGTTGTCCGCTACTTTAAGGATGAATAGTAAGGGAGACCGGAGCAAACTCGACATGATTTTTTCAAAGGTAATTTTTAACAATTAATTAAAATTTTCAAGCAAATTCAATAGTACACATTTAAAAAGTGTTCCTTCAGATACAAAATTGCTTAAGGAAGTTTTACTGTACGTCGCTTAGTTTTGCCCCCTGCAGGAAAGATAAAGTAACGCAAAGACAAATTTTCAAATTGAGAAATGCCGGGGCAAACTCGACACTTTGCCTGATCGACACAATTTGATCTGGAACTTATTTTTTATTGTCTGAAACTGAAAATACATTGTTTATCGTGTATTTAGAAAATACAAAAATTCGGAATTAAGTAAAATAATCATTGAAAATAATGAGAACAAAAATTGTTGACCTTTCAATTATTTTCATCTAAACTCATGTCTGAAAAACAATTTATGCAAGTAAATTCGCAATCGGACGTGCGCACACATTTGTCATGAGCCATATGGCTGTATGACAAGCATCGTTTGTTATTGGGAGCCGATAAAACGGCGTGGTGTCGACTTTGCCCCAAATCTCGTTTTTTACTTTTATCACTCCAAAAACATGAAAATTTTGGAAATATGCAAAAACTATTATCGGATTCGTATTGGGATCTGACATTCATCGCCATGACATGTGGTGGTCGAAAGTGAAACCACTGAGGGGTATACAGATCTCGTGGCATTGTATAGGCTTGACGTGCGAAACTGTGAGCCGATGGACGCCATATTGGTTGTAAGTCCCGCCTCCATCTCAGATCCCAATAAGAGCATCAAATTTCACATCAAAATCACTTACATATAGGTTTGCAAGAGTAAAGCTCGATGAAAGAGTAGAAATTTTCGAGATCAAAAAAATTACTTTTTAAAAAAGTTTAAGTCGCGCTAAAAATTACACCATAACTCAGAATGTCACCAAATTCCGTTAATAATACTGGCACATATACCTACATATAAAGACGCATTTACAGTATATAGAAAAGGCAAATTTCTCTACGATAGATTTAAATTGACAAAAAACCTAATGTCAAGTTTGCCCCGGTCTCCCTTACACATTAAAATTAAATTAAAATAATAAAAAAAGTTCCTATCAACATAGATCCGCAAATGATCTCCTATCGAGTTATGGGCATTACAACTTTTGAGTTTAAATTCGGTTTATTAACGAACAGAATACGTTTTAAGTTGTCAAAATACGTACAAAACTACGTCCATATTAAACTACGGATTGAGATTGTGATTGGAAAATTTAATCAATCAGAATAAAGAAAACTGATATCAAGTTTAGTGAACTTTGCTTTGATTGTTCAAATTTCAATTCAATCTTAATCCCAATCCGTAGTCTGATACGGGCTTTAAGAGATTTTCTAATCTTACCAGAAATTTTGAGTAAAATTTCTAGAAAATCCGGGAATTTTTTTACAAAATTTGAGCTCTGATAAGAAAAGATGCATAACATTATGTGACGAAATCGGGATAAAATTGGAAATGCTGCAATTATGTCTCAATATTTGCAGCAACACTAATAGTAGACCTTTGTGCAAATATTAATAAATATTTGCATAATTTATTTCTAAATAGTATTTCAGCAAGACAACAGCGATATGAAGAACTATCTTAGCGGAATATTTGCAAAATTAAATTTGGGAAAAAATTGCGAAATAATTGAGAAATATATTTGAGTCTTATCATGTGTCATTCGTAGCATATTCTGTGCTTGCTGAGTCACCGATAAATGGCATACTTTCTCGTACGTAAAATTTAATGAACGATGGTATATATGTAACTGTTATATATCAATGTTTGCTGAAGTGTGCTGGAGTGATTTTGCTTCTAAATGTCGAAATAATTGTGCAAAATTTGAATCTAAAATTGAATTTCTAAATTTTTGTGCAAATATTATTCAGAAATTTTATACCGGCAAACACGCTGAGTTATGAGGAATCATCTTAGCACAATAATTGTGAAATTTTTCTTAATTGAATGATGCAATCATTGTACAATATTTGCACAATTTTCTTGTATATCGGGGAGTAAACCCTATTGAAGTATCCACATTAGTTTTTTGTACGAACTATTTTAAATTAATTGCTGTTTAATTAATTTGCAATATGTGTTCAATACATAAACAGTGTGTGTGTGTGTGTGTGTGTGTGCGTGTGCGTGCGCGTGCGCGTGCGCGTGGCGTGTGCGTGTGTGTGTATAGATACATACATATACATACATATGTAGATATGTATATATTTTATATAATTTTTAAAATAAATATACTATTATTTTAAAATATTTATATATTTTATTCTGTTTTCATCCTTTTAATATAAATTACAATTCCGGATGTTCCCTTTCATCACGTCCATAGGACGTCCATCGAATATCCCGTGGACACGTTTAGGGATTAAAGCATATCCACCAATTTCATAAACAGATATACCGTGGACGTCCATAGAATGTCCGAAAGATGTAAAATGAATGGCCTGTGGATATCGTCAATATCTTTAAAGGGCGTCTTATGAATGTCCTTCGGATCATTCCTTCCTTATCTTATCCTCCGTCCTTATCTTTATATATTTCATTTTATCATAATATATTTTGATGTAAAACGTGAAATAGTTTGTAAAGCATTCTCTTTTCAATGATCATAATATTTGTAATAAATAGTAGATATAATAAGAATATTTACAAGCAACTTTAGTTTAACATTGTTTCACTATACATGCATGGTTTTTGAAATATTAAAAATAAATATTTAAAATAAATCACTCGTCTATAGGTATATATCTTCCTTGAAAATTATTTAACTAAATTTTGAATTAAAAGGTTTTAATTAATGATTATTATATGTATTTCATTAAGCAAAAATGTTTCATTGTTACGCAATACTATCGTACTCACATAAATTGCAGATCTACCTGCTGGAGAATCAATCGAAGAAATCGCCGAATCTGTAGATGAGTTACGGGAGAAGCTTGCCAATATGAAAAAACTTATGAAAGAGCGAAGAGGCACAACGCTGGGAGAGATCAGTGCCCGAAAAAGGAAAGAAACTTCTAACATGATAGATGACAATCTCCTGTCCTGGATGTTCGGATTGGCTCTTATGGGGATTCTACTTGTTAGCTTCTACGCCTTCTATAATCTTTATTACGCGGTGCTGAAGAGATTCCCATCCCATCATACGGAATTATAAAAAAGTGCGTGAGAACAAAAAGGAGCGGGGCTCAAAATTTTCGCAAAGCTGAAATTATATTACAAATCGGCCTTGTTTAATTTCCCTATCAGATAATATCCCAACAAGGGTAATCCCAATGCGTCAGATGTTCTTTTTACTATAAACTCTTTAACTGCCATGTGTTTGATTTTTCTCAATAAAAATGGCATAGAAAAGTATAATATCCAAGTAATTAATAATTAAAAAAAAATTGTAGCAAATTAACCCTTAACGTATATACGTGCGGGTCAACGGCGTCCGAGCCTTAATGATATCTGCTCGTAACTGTAAAACTTGCAAGCCTGTTAGAAGATATTAAATAAACGATGTTTATCAAAATGACTATAAAATCGTCAACTACAATGTAGACAGATGTTTCATAAATTTTTTTAAATTTTTTAAAAACATTTTAAGGTAGGGAAAAATAGCGTTGAATGTGACAGATCTACGTATGCACTTAGAAGGTACTGAAAAAACGTATACACTTTAAGGGTTAAATTTGAGAAAAAAAATAGACGACAATAATATGCCATACTCTTATTTATATTTCAATATAATTTCATATTTAATTAATACAATCTAAAATCACGATTACGAAGATATTGTAAAATTTTGTTAGGTAGTTCGTCCGTGATAATATTATCAAAAAGTAAATAATAGACAAATGACATATAGTATTTGGCTGAGATCGTCCGCGTTATGCATGTGTGTGTAGAATCTCATATATGTACAGACCCAGATAGCAGAGTGCGTCAAATGACGTTATAATGCCGTCAAAGTGACGTCTCTAACGACAACAATTCGTCACTTTGACTGCACTATTACGCCACTTGACGCCACTCTGCTATCTGGGGATATATAGATACTAATGTGCTATTAGATCTTCAAAAGTTAGCTGTCATATGTGTCCAGCGCTATCAGAAATTGTATATTAATTGCTTCGAAACAAGATGGTTAGAGTCCCCCTAATCAGAGTCTGGCCAACTTTTAATTCTGGCAAAATTCTGCGAGAGAGAAGAATATAAGAGAGAAAGAGAAAGCGATATAACATTCACTATACATTTATCGCCTCTCCCTCTCCCTCTCCCTCTCCCTCTCCCTTTCCCTCTCTCTCCCTCTCCCTCTCCCTCTCCCTCTCCCTCTCCCTCTCCCTCTCTCTCTCTCTCTCTCTCTCTCTCTCTCTCACAGAGAAAGACTCTCTGTGATATATCTTTCTCTTTCTGTTTCTCTTGCTTTTACCAAGAAATGGCGAATTAATCAAAAGTTGCTACTGTATGGCCAGACTCTGATTAGAGGGACTCTATATAAAGACGGTCAAAGGTTTTATATGTTTGTAAGAATATTCTTGCAAGTCTCTTTTATCATCTTCTTGTTTTTTATTGAAATCGTAGTTTGATCTGTACAATCAGAAACATGATATTGGAAGCCATTTTCACCATATGATATATGTAAAAGTGTGCAAGTAGAAACTTGCACATTGCTTCCTCATAGTTTTTAAGTGTGCAAGTAGAAACTTGAACATTGCTTCCTCATAGTTTTTAAGTGTGCAAATTATAAATTTGAACATTATTTCCTCACAATTTTTAAGTATGCAAATTGTAAATTTGCACATTTTATTTTGCTTATAAAGCTTTCTCTTTTGAGGAAGCCTGTTTTTTATACATGATTAAGGAGGTTCTACAGATAATGGATGTATATAAAAATTGGAAAAAACTTTATGGACGTATAAATTAAGATGCGAGAAAAGTGCTCGAAAAATTTTAGCATCGGTTACCGTGTAAAAATTTGCAAAAATGAATTTTGAAATCACAGTTTTTAACATAAGCTACATATGGCAGAGAGGCTCTTGGAAACAGGAAACGAGATATTAATTATATAAAGGCAGCCTACCAGAGATTCAAAAAACGGAGCTCTTATAGATCTTAATCTAAGCTTTTCAGAAATATCGAGAAAAACAAGGGTTATCGCGTAAAATTTTGTGATATTGGCTATTGAAACAGGCCATATCACAGTTCACGTAGCGTGCTTCGAATAACAAGGGAGATTTGGCAATGTCGCAGCGACTGCACCCGCGCGAAAAGTGTACAGCCAGTACAGCACCACAGTATGACAGCACCTCAAACTTAAGCACTTAAGTTTACGAGCGCTTACGGAGAAGTACTCGCTCTAGAATTATGTGAAATTGTGAAATAACCACGGTCATATGAGCAGAACTGTCAAGTTCGCGACGTTACCACATTTTCTTCCATTATATGCCGCCAGAGTCAAAGGAGCACTTACACGATATTTTTAATTATTCCTCGCTTCGACTAATATGGGTATGATATAAGCTCTAACGTCATCAAAATTCACGAAAATATTTTATGAATACTTAGAATCGATGAATTTGAAGATTTTCTCTTCATCTCTCAACTGACTAGAGAGTAATTTGGCTTCCTTAATTTGGCCTCCTTAATTTGGCTTCCTCATAGAGGAAGCTTTATGAGCGAAATAAAATGTTGCTTAAGCAACGTGCAAATTTATAATTTGCATACTTAAAATTTGTAAGGAAATAATGTTCAAATTTATAATTTGCACACTTAAAAACTATGAGGAAGCAATGTTCAAGTTTCTACTTGCACACTTAAAAACTATGAGGAAGCAATGTGCAAGTTTTTACTTGTACACTTTTTTTATTCTGATAAGCTTTATTACAACTAATATCTGTTATACTATTACAAAAATCAATTAAATAATTAATATTTTTAATAAAATAATCTATTATTTGCGGATATTTTTTTCTAATTCTGTATCGCGTTGCATTTTGGCACTCAAGTCAGATAGTACAACCCTTTTATTTACTCTCATTTTGATAAAAATTTATACATTGTTTTTTTATTTTAGAAGCCTTATAAAGTTTGGTCTAATTAACCAAATTTTAAAGAATTATATATGAAATAGGGGTAAAAAAAACTGAAGAATATAACAGAATTAGAAAAAGTTGCCAATAATTAATATTAAATTGTTCAAAAACATCAATTTTTAAAAAGTCTCAAGTGCTTGAAAGTTTTTAAGGGTTAAAGTTTTATAATATTGGCAATTTTTTTAATTCTATTATATTCTTCAATCTTTTCTACCCCTATTTCATATATAACTCTTTAAGATTTGGTTGATTAGTTCTTGAGCTATAACCGTTTGAGATTACGAAGAATCCGTACATAGGAAGCAAAATGTGCAAGTTTCAAAAGTGTGCAAGTTTGCAGACTTTTTTATTATATTAACAATTTTTTAATAATTCTATTATATTGTTCTTTAAGATTTGGTTGATTAGTTCTTGAAATGCAGACGTTTGAAATTTCGGGAAATCCGTATAAATATAAGAGCCTTATAAAACTGGGTCTAATCAACCAAATCTTAAAAACTTAACATAAAATAGGGGTAGAAAAGACTGAAGAATATAATAGAATTAAAAATAGACCAATATCTCAAATATTGAGAAAGTTACAGCATCAAACACATTTTTCTGAAAAATGAAAACCCCCCTAAAATCCATACCGTTTGACAGATTTTAAGAAAATTAGAGGAGAACATACTTTCTATGATACTCTATTTGTGTGCAAAATTTCAGCCCGGTATTTAAGAAATTATAGAAGTAGATGCGTATACAGATCCGTACACATACACACACATCCTTCCAGACATTTTTTTTTAATGCAATTTTTCGACGTTTTAAGACATTCCGAACACATTTCGGTATCAAAAACTAAAAAAACATTTTTTTTCTCAGCCTTTTCTACCTCTATTTCATACACTGAAAAAAAATTGCTAGATTCAAGAAAATTAAATTTGAATTTAAAAAACCATTGTTTTGATTATTTACAAGAAAATTATTTTCATAATTTGAAACATTTGTATTTTTAAAAAGAAAAAAAAGCATTTATTAATGTAGAAAAATTATTTCTTTAAAGTAAGTAAATGTTATTTATTAAACAAAAAATATATACTTCAATTGAATAACTAATATTTTAAACTATAAAACGCATTACAAAATAAAAAAAAATTTGTTTTTCAAATAAATATGCAAACTTTTAAAATAATACTAAAATAAATATATTTACTTAATATAAACAAATTTTTTTTCAGTGTATATAATTCTTTAAAATTTGGTTGAGTAGACTTAGCTTTATACGCGATCAAAGGTCCATATACGAGGTTTACGAAAACAAAGCTTCCTCTATGAAGAAGCAAAAAGTGATAATTTTGACTTCCATTTCAACTTCGGTATGCAGTCAATCTTTTTCTAATTGCACATGTGTGTAGAGCGTGTTTAGATTAATATGCTGTCCAAATTTTACAAGATTCCTAAGAAAATGAGTTTACGGACGTACCTACTACCTTAAATATAATTTTTAGCAATGAGGTCCAAAGAATTGTTTCTTTTTTGCATTTAATTAATCTAATTAATTGATTGATCTAGCATTCGAGCTTGTTACCAAGTAAAAAGTTCTTTTATATAAAAATATACATATTTATATATAAAATATGTTCATATATGTTTTCTTTTTCTTATCTACCCTAATGATATATATATATATATATATATATATATATATTAATTACCGTAAATTGCTTGTTTTATGAAAAATTATTTCAAACAAAAGTTGCATAGGGGAGACCGGGGCTAAGCCGACAGCGGGGCGAACTTGACACTAGGCTTTTTGCCAGTTTAAATCTATCGTAGAAACTTGCCTTTGCTACTGTAAATGCGTCTTTATGTGCCAGTATTATCAACGGAATTTGGTAACATTCTGAGTTATAGTGTAATTTTTAACGCGACATAAGTGTTTTTGATAGTGAAAAGTAATTTTTCTGATCTCTCGAAAATGTCTACTCTTTCATCGAGCTTTACTCTTGCGAATCTACCGGTAAGTGATTTTGATGGGAAATTCGATGCTTTATACGAATCCAATAATAATTTTTGCATATTTTCAAAATTTATATATTTTTGGAGTAACAAAAGTAAAAAACGACGTTCGGGGCTAAGTCGACACGACGCCACCGGGGCAAAGACGACACTAACCTAAAGTGACATTATCGCAAAAAAGGTCACTGTTTCGTCCGATTCCGATGACGATTTAAGGAACATCTGTTGCGTGTGTTCGGAAAACATTTCATTAGCTTCTAATAACAAACAATGCATCTTATGCAACCGTATGGCTCATGACGAATGTGTGCGCACATCTGATCGCGAGTTTACGTGTATAAATTGTTTTTCAGACAGTTCAGAAAAAGATAATTAAAAGTTTAATCTTTTTTTTCTCATTATTTTAAATAATTGTTTACTTTATTTCGACTTTTTGTTTCTAATACACAATGTCTTTTTATTTGATAAACAATGTATTTTTATTTTTAAACAATAAAAAAATAAGTTCCAGATCAAATTGTGTCGATCAAACAAAGTGTTGAGTTTGCCCCGGCGGGGTGTCGAGTTCGCCCCGTCATTTTTCAATTCAAAAATTTGTCTTCGCGTCACTTTTCCTTTCCTGGCGGCAAAACAAAGCAACGTACAGCAAATCTTCCTGAATCAAT